ACCCCCACCTTTTCAATGGGGGCAACTAGGGATGAGTAATAAATACTCACACCCCCCATGAACAAATAAAAATAAAGTTTGCTAGGTAAGTTTGGAGTTCGAGTGGTTAGTAGGTGGATGGGGTGGTAGAGCGCCAGGTAATTGACTTGGCTGGGTGGGTGAGGGAGGGAAACACATTGAGGGGTGTCAGGCCAGGTGGGGGTCAAGTTTATTGGAGAAGGGAGTGTTGGGTGATGATGGGCTGTGGGATGGTGTCAGGATTAGGATTGGTGCAGCGGGGTGAGGGGGCTCACGTTGGTATCTGTTGGACTGGCAAGGGCTAATGGAGAATGATGTCGAGTTGGTTTGGGAGTGTGGATATGGGTGTCTGACTGCATGGATGTGAGTGAAAACAAAAAAACGCTGTAGATCACAGCAGGTCAGGCTGCATCCATCCAGAGTCAGCAAGCTAATGGAGAGCTGATGAAAAGTCATCTAGGCTTGAAACGTTAGCTTCTTAGATGCTGCCTGACCCGCTGTGATCTCCAGCATTTTTCATTTTCAGTTCAGACTCCAGCATTTGCAGTAGTTTGCTCCTATACTGGGTGGAAATGAATGTTTGGTTTGGGGATTTCAGGGGTTGTAATTGAGGGAGTCAATGATGAGTTGGTAGTGGGAAGGCATCAGTTTATAATCGCTTCCCAGGAGGCAGAGCAAGTTCTTAATTCTCTCATTTTTCCCAGGTGATTGTGTGAGTTAGAGCCCTCCAAAGTGTTGGATTTTAATGGACTTTTCCAGTGTTCCAGATTCATGGGATTTGCTGGTTGGAAGTTCCAGTTTACAAGATAATTCTCTCGGAGTCTGTTATGTTGGTGACGTGTAACTGCACTTCTGGCTGCAAGAGTGCTTGGCTGAACATCGGCATATCCCAGTACTTAGCTCTCTCTCTCTGTCTCTCCTCCCGCACCACCCCCACCCCGCCATCTGTCTCTCTCTCTCTGACTGTCTCTCCCTCTGACTGTCTCTCTCTCTCTCTCTGTTTCTGTCTCTCTCTGTTTCTGTCTGTGTCTCTGTCTATATCTCTCTCTCGGTCTGTCTCTCTGTTTCTGTCTCTCTCTGTCTGTCTCTCTCTGTTTCTGTCTCTCTCTGTGTATCTCTCTCTCTCTCTGTTTCTCTCTGTCTCTTTCTGTCTCTCTCTGTTTTTGTCTATCTCTGTCTACCTCTCTCTCTGTTTCTGTTTCTCTCCCTGTCTATTGCTATCTCTTTCTCTCTGTCTCTGACTGTGTCTCTGTTTCTGTCTGTCTCTCTGTTTCTGACTCTCTCTCTGTCTGTCTCTCTGTCTCTGTCTATCACTCTCTCTCTCTCTGTCTGTCTTACTGTCTCTCTGTTTCTGTCTCTCTCTTTCTCTGTCTGTCTCTGTCTCTCGGCACAGGGGCTACCTGACCCGTGAGAATTAACACCATTTTCGGTGTTGATTTGACATCATCAGCACCCAGTGTTTTGGTTGTTAATATTTGAGGTGTGTTGTGTTTTCTGCAAATGATCACAGCCCATAGTTACCAGGAGTTAGTGTCACGTTGCTGAATCTTATTTCCAGGCTCATTTTACATGCTTCATATTTCTCAGTAACCCCCCACACCTCCCATGCCCACCCCTACCCTCCCATCGCCACGAGCACAGACCTTCCCTCTCGACATGAATGTGATGTCTGCTATAAACATTGCGCCATGTGTTTGGTTAGTTTTCTCTGCCCAGACACACACTCCTTGAGTGATGAACCCGGCCTATTCGGCTCCGATGCCAAGAACTAATCCATGGCAACATAACATTCCCATCCCAAACTGGAGACATGTTAATTGCTGGGAAAGGGGTGGAGACTGACTGTAACCAGACCTGGCCCGGATTTGTACAGACACAGAGAGGTTACAGCAGCCATGGAAAAGGTAACATTCAGAACCCGAGTATGAGCGAGAGGGAGAGGGACAGGGAAGGCGAGAAAGGAAATATAGAGAGGGTAAAGCAGAGGGAAAGACAGAGGGAGAGAAAGCGAGGCAGTGGAAAAGAAAGGAAGGGAGAGGCAGAAGGAGAGAGAGAGATCGGTAGAAATGATGTACACAGACTCCCCACCTTCAGCAAAAATACCATCTTTTCCTATTTACTATTGGTTATAGAATCATGGAATCTCTACAGTGTGGAAGCAGGCCTTTTGGCCCATAGAGTCCACACCGACTCTCTGAAGAGCACCCCATCCAGACCCACTCCCCTACCATTTCCCTGTAACCCTGTGTTTCCCATGGCTAATCCACCTAGACTACACATCCCTGTATGCTGTGGGCAATTTAGCATGGCCAATCATTATTTTGTTTTTATTTTTCTCATTTTTGGTTTGGAACTATGAGTTGCACTTGAGAACTGAACTTTGAACTGTGAACAGCAGGTTGTTTTTTGAAAAAAGAAGATAACATAAGATTAAGGTTTGCTTTTGGGAACTGGCCTGCAAAGATAATGCAAGTTAATTATTGCTCAAGGAACACTACTGACAGAGATAGTAGGAACTGCAGATGCTGGAGAATCCGAGACAACAAGGTGCAGGGCTGGATGAACACAGCAGACCAAGCAGCATCATAGGAGCAGAGAGGCTGACGTTTCTGATGAAGGGTCTAGGCCCGAAACGTCAGCCTCTCTGCTCCTATGATGCTGCTTGGCCTGCTGTGTTCATCCAGCACCACACTACTGACAGATCAGTTCTATAGAAGGGTCTCTGGACCTGAAACATTAACTGTTTTCTGTCCACAGACCTCTTCAGTTTCTCCAACGATTTCTGTTTTGTTACAAAAGGATGATACTGCAGATGCTGGAAGTTTGAAGCCAGCTCAGGAAGTGATGGAAATATTCAGCAGGCCCAGCAGTGTCCATCGAAGAGGAGACTCCAGTAAGAGCGTTCTTTCCCTTCTCTTCTTCCTGGACATTCCCTCAGGATTGAGGGCAACTTCTTCCACTACCGCTCAATAGATTCTGGGATAACACAGTGTGGAGCTGGAGGAACACAGCAGGCCAGACAGCATCAGAGGAGCAGGAAAGTTGACATTTCAGTTCGGGACTCTTTTTCTGAAGTGTCCCAACCCGAAACGTCAACTGTCCTGTTCCTCTGATGCTGCTTGGCCTGCTGTGTTCCTCCAGCTCCACACTGTGTTATCTCTGACTCCAGCACTGGCAGTTCTTACTATCTCTCAATGGATTCTGGGATGGTTGGACTGGGGTAAAGGCCAAAACAGACCCTGCGCCCCCCCATCCCCCCACACACACACAGAGCACATGTTAATTGAAGTTTCAGCATTCCTCCGTGCCCCAAATTATTCCCTAAAAATTAGTGATGAGATCTTTCTGTGCTCAGTGCTGTTCTGGCAGCATATGTAAACATAGGGCAAAGGGGGCTCGTAGTACCGGAGTAAATACCCTACTTCTGGGCCAGAAGGTCAGATTCATGTTCCACCTGCTGCTGTGGTGCAACATAACATGGCCAAACAAGTTGATTAAAAAGAATTATAAATACAGTTCGGCTGAGATATTGGCTGGATAAGAGATGTAAGATTGAGCGAGTCAATAAACCTTCTCCACAAAGGTTCATTTTTGTTTCAATTTCACCAGCCAGCTTGGAATCTGGGGTTCTCTCTCTCTCTCTATCTATCTATCTGATCAGGATTTTAGCCAATTCACCCAATGACCCTAAAATAACTGCCTAGCCTCTTTCCAATGACTTTAAGAGTCT